TCAGATCTATTTAGGATTGCATGGTTAGTTTAGAAAAATAGTAGCAGGATTAGAACTTCAGAAAAATGAGAGAAAAGCCTGAATAGAGAAAAAATGGGTTATAATTTTGAAACATTGTGAAATTCAGTTTGATCTGAATAGTGGTGGATTTAGGGTAGTTACCACACATTCCAGTGGAAGACAAGTGTAATTTTAAAAAAGAACTAGGTAAAATCTTAGAGGCCAATTATTTTAGTTATTAGTAATGATAGTAAACGGATCTTCCACATTTAGATATACATTTGAGCACTATTTCTTGGCAAGAGCCAATGGGGCATCTGTCTGACTCATGTCTTACTATGGAAAGGAAAGGAATCCCTGTGGATTTTACTCTGCTAGTCGTAACGACTATAAGTGGGGTGCTCATCTCCATTTCAAGGGCCATTGAATCAGCGTTTCTGCAGTCAAGTGGCCAGCATGACATCACAGAGCTCTGCTATCTTCCCACTGAAGTAGTACCTATTTATCTACTCACATTTGCATGCTTTCAAACTGTTAGGTGGGCAGGAGCTAGGCGAAGATGGGAGCTCACCGCATCACACAATGCTTGGGTCTCAAACCTGTGCTGTTGGCTTTCATCTGCCCATATCTTATGAAATTCCCTTAATTTTTGCCTATTTTGTGTTGGAGAGAGAATTTTGAAGGAGACACATCTTCAGTTAGATCCTGCAAGACAGTTCTTCTGTGCACCTGATTGCCTTCCCACCTCACTCCTCAGCCCTCTAAACATCCATCCATATTTATAGAGCCATATATCTTGTACCTCATGTATTTCAGTTGCTGCATATATCTTCTCTTAACAGAATAGCCAGATATAGTTACTACAAATACTGTTCTGCTGGAAAGAAGCAGATAATGTGCTGGCAATCTGAGTAAAGTTGATTCAACTTTTAAAGAAAATACACTACAAGTCAGCTACTCCTGAATTTTACTTTCTCTCTCGGAATTGGGTAACTGTGCATTAATATAAGCTGCCCAGCATCACCTTGAAGCGAGATGGGTGACCAATCAATCTAATAAGTAAATAAATTAAAGATAGATATTAATGCAATCCTAATTAAACTGCAACTAGTCTCCCTAGAGCATCAGATGTTTTCCTAGACATGGCTCACTGTTTCTGGTGCTTGCTTGTCTGTGCCAGTTGGCCACTGATGAAATCTGAAGCCCTTTGTTTCAGCCATTTCTAAACTGACTTACGTTTGCCAGGCATTTGCAAACACACAAATGCAAACAGACACCATATGTATACATCTGTGTAAGCCACCAACTAGAATTTGGTGTGGAATTCAAAAATTGAGTTGGGAATTTGTTCCAGATACAGGACAGACCTCAAATGGAATTTTTCAGTCTTTCCATGAAAAAAAACCTATTGCCCCAGATTCTATAGTGACGCTCTTAAGCAGCTGGAAATCAGAAATGTTTAGTGATCTGCTTTGGATTCTCCAGGGATTTACCAGCAGATCCTAAACTGTCTTCTTTCTGGATCTAAGGAGTTGTACATAAATATATCATGTACTGAAAGGAGGGGACAGTAATAAGGGGGTATGATAGGAACAGATTCAGATTGGTAATACCTACTAGTTCATTGTTTGGCAGTTCATTATGCTCCAGAATTTCTGGTGGTGACCTTTCCTAGTCCTTCCTTGCCAAGGACTAAACTGGAAATTTTCAGCTTCTAAAGCTTGACTCCAATACTGAATTACAAATAATCTGCAAAAGGATTGCTATATGGAAATAAGTATTGGATGGAACCAAGTACAACAATAGAGTGTTTTAAAAACTACTATAAGAAGTGATAGGTTTTGTTCATGTGAGGTTCTTTTACTAAATGAGGCTAGTTTCCCCCAATAACCTGACGGCTTTTATAATAACCAGGTCAATTTGTAGTAGTCAATCAATTCCTGGCTACTTCCAGCTTTATGCTTGTGGATTTTTTGCAGTCTCTTTCATTAGGACAAATGTACAAGCACTGTTTTTTAAACTTATTTATTATTCTTTTTTTAAAAAAAACCCTTCATCCTCTTCCCATTAGAATATGGTTTAGAAAAGAAATGTCCCCAACAAGAATGGATTCTTCTCCCCTCTTCCCCCTTGGAGTGAATGTCCTTTCCCTTCCCGAGTTGTGAACAAAACTCACTTGTAAATGGCTGGCAAATTTACAGCGACAAAGTGACCTTTTCTTTGTTTGAATATTTTTTTAAATATTTATATTTGTTTCTATCAATAATATCTACAATATTGAATGAAAAGAAGCCCAGGTTGAGACAAAAGTGTTCCTTGGCTCCATTCCCCTTCCCTGAAAACTAAATTATTTTAAGATTTTGGATTTTTTTTAAAAAAACATTCAGATGAGAAAAAAAGAAGAAAAAAGCTTGCTTTTGTTATTTTGTTCTTAGAAAGAAAAGACGGCAACAAAGAGATTTACAGATGGGTTTGGCATTTGCCCTTCCGAAGGAGGGATGGCTTTTTTGATAAGTGCTGCAGCTGGTATTTTCAAGCAGGCTTACCCTAGGAAATACAAAACATGTAACATATTGAATCATGACGAATGGTCAGCTGTAATGTCATGGGTGGAAGAAAATGACACTGCCAGAGTCCTAGAGGGTCTCGTCTCTGCAGCCTAAGTCAAACAGAGTGAGGAAGTGTGCCACCCATCCCGCCCCCCTCTGCTGCCTGGTTTTTGCCCAATCCACTTTTAACCACCAAATACTGCTTGGTCATCATATCGGACTGAGAACCAGGAATACCCTTCTGATGGCAGCTGGTGCCACTCCACGTTTGAAAACTATTAGGACTGAAGCTTTTAAGCAAACTTTCATAAGGATTTGGACCCTCATAATTCCATTAAGATCCTACATAATTTTTGTCCCTGGCTAGAGCAATCCTTACCTCTTGTGCAGCATTCTATTACCCACCATGACATCAACTTTTACTGTTAATGTAGATATTTTAGATTGTTATTGTTTGGGGGAAAGTGCTGAAATCATGTTCAACCCAATGCCCTTTTGGTGATAAATAATTTTATAGTTATGTGTGACAAAATTCCAATATACTGGTACTCTCTTGAATTTTGATCAGCATATGGCCTAGTTGATGCGGTGTGATTATTTTCAGCATGCCCCTCCTTAACTGGCCTAGCTTATATTATGGAAACTTTTAATTGTGGCGGTCTTCACTCAGCCACAAGTGCCTTAGACAACTTGCTCATTTCCTTTCAGCCAGCACAGGATTATTGTAAAATTATCATGAAGCAATCCATAGCAGGCTACTCAGAACTCCTGGGTATTCAGGAGCTATTTCTGTTCTCTTCAGCGTTGTCTTGAGCACTTGAGGAGATATAAAGGACTCAAAATATGCACTTTCCCACCAATTGGTATTGGCACTGGTAATATTCCAAGGCAGCTTCCCTGAAATAGAGTTCATTTTAGTGCTGCCTAGGGATATCTGTTTTCCATAATGTTCCTCCCAACCCTCTGTGTACATTGACTGTTGAATTTTGTCTTATTGGCAGGGTTTCCTTATCCTCCTCTAGATGCAGTTTGAATTTGCTTGACTGAGAGAATTACTAAGGCTGAGCTCTGTTCCTCGTGTATACAGAATGGGACCCAAGGAAAGTTTTGTCATGACAGTTTAGAATCCGTTTAGAATCTCAGAATTAGCACATACTGGCTGAAGAGAAATATCCTCCCAATCAGCGCAAAGAGGGCATTTCGAAGTAATAGTGACTTAACTGGTCTCTGGAATAAGATAGAATATAAAAGCAATTTTAAAGTGGTAAATTCAAGCTGCATTGTGGAGGTGAGTAGCCATAATAGGCCGTGCGGTCTTGTGCAATCACTGCATGAATATTTTTCTAGGTTTCCTCACAACCACGAGGAGAGAAATCTTTGTTGTGGTAGTTGGTGTTTTGAAAATTCTCAGAAATATAACTTTCTGACAAATCTATCAAATAATGCATGCTCTAATTTAGTGATCTTATGCAACAGGAAAGATGTTCTGTTCTTTCTCACAAACTTTATCTTCATTTTCCACCCTAAATTATCTGTATCGTTCAGTTATTGGATGTTTGGCTAAAGGAAGCATATGGATTGTGAGCACTGGTGGGGGGGAGGAAGAGAAGTGCCCCCCTCAAATGGGACCTCACTTTTGGTCACTTTTTGTGAAATTGCTGAAAAGGCCCAAATTTATGTCACTGCAATCACACCCTACTTTCGGTCACACTGTATTTGCACTATCCAATAAAAAAAAAAAAAACATTTTGGTTACTCATTGTTCCACAGTCAATTCCCCTCCTAACAGAAAGGAATCTTTTTCTTTTTCCTGGCAAATCCTGATATAAAATACAAGCTCCAGCAAACAATGTATTTTTTTCTTTTTTCTTTAAAAAAAGCAAAATTGCCCCAGACTGAAATTCCATTGGGGGAGGGGGGAGAAGAAAGGAGAGTTTGATAACAGGCATGCGTTATGGTCAGAAAATCCGTTAATACATCTGTCGGTTGGTATCATATATATATATATATATATGTATATATATATATTTTAGGATAATAGTTGTCTAGATTATTCTTCTTTTTTTTTCCTTTTTTTGTTTTGTTTTTCTTCCTTTTTCTGGTGCAAATATAGTTTCTTTTTTAAACATTGGGGGGAGAAAAAAAGAGGTCCTACGAGAAAAATCAAAGCAACCCCCCCCCAATTGCAGGATCATTGTGGGTTTGGTGAGTGTGGTTGTGTCCAAAAATACCCCAAAGAACAGATTAGAGAAATGGGTGGTTTTCCTGTACACTCTGGGACTCAGCCCAAACCTCTCGAGTGATTGAAGAAAACTTTTCTCCCCCTCTACGGTTTGCTTTCCTTGCATCAAGTCAGCATATCTCTGGTTGCCTGAGCCATCCATTGGCAGAAAACCTTGTCCTTTCCCACTCCACTAAGTCAAGAGGTGAAGTGTCATCTCCTGTCGGCTTTCCATCCTTCCTTAGCTACCCTACCTCCCAGGAGGAACTGGACACCTCTGTTGTGAACAAAGTCAATTCAACTGGTTGCATGGTAGGGTTGTGTTAGAGGGAGGTTTCCATGCTGTGAAGTGGGCTAACTGGGCTGCATGAGGAGGTAGGTGTCTTGCTGACATCGGTGTTAAGGTAGATGCCACTGTCAATGGCATTGTTGTTCTTGTTGGGAGATGGTGGGGGACTGGCCCTGAAGTGCTGTCTTAGGGGACCCTCGCTCTCCTCCACGTCTGTATCGTCAATGAGAGGAATGTTGTGGATGTAGTCATTGATCAAGAACTCAGGCGTTGTCATGAAATTATGGATGGAGGTCTTGGTGTCTGGCTTCTCCAGCCCTTCATAGAGTGAACTACGGAACGCTTTCACTACGCGGATCTGCAGAGAAGGCCAAAAGGAGGGAAAAGAGAGTCAATGAAAAGTTGACTTAGAGCTGCCCAATGCCAGGCCACATTTCTGGATCTTGCTAATTGTCATCCTTTGCCATCTCAGCTTGATCTAGGAGAAAGCTGAAGAGATGGGATAGGAACCATTAATCCTAGACATAATTTCAACCTCATTCCAGCCACTGGACATAAGGCAGTACTGATCAAGTGTTATCAGTGTTTCTCCACTTTGTTGCAAATATCCTAGTAAAGGGGTTCTCTGCTCTGAAGGCAAGTTGGCACTACAAATATGTGTTAAATCTGCATTATTTTAATTGTGACTTCTCTGATATAGTCCTGTGGGACTGTACTTTAGTGATGGTACTGAAAATTTGTTAGAATTGCCTTCCCCATTTAAAACATTGCAATTCCCTTGGTATAAGGAATGACTATTAAGCCAATATAAATATTGTGTCAACATGTGTGAATTTTTTTTTTTTTTACTAACGATGCCAGCAACTGAAAGAATACTTAAAAGCTCTATGGTTACCTACCTTCCAAGGATTATTATGAGTAGAAGCTAAAACTACTAAGATAAGCTTGTGAAACAGCAACTGGGCCATGGGTGACATCAATTTAATGCTGCCATGCCAGATTCTCAGTACCGTATTGCTATCCAGCCCTTCTGTGTCCTCTCCCTATTCTTGATGTTTGTCCAGTGCCCCCCCCCCTTTTATTGTCCATAGTTTATCTTGGGTTAATCAGAATTGGTCCTGTGACAAATTGCTTAACATGTAGCTGAGGGGAGAGGAGCCTTTCCTTGGTCACAAGGAATAACACAAAAATGGGTGCAGAACTTAAACGAATGAGACATGAATGGTAAAAAAACAGGCATAGGAAATGAGAGGAATACGTGGGCAACTAATATTATACTTAGTGACAGTCTAGTCATTGTAGAAAACAATGTTTGTATATATGTGCTATGTGGTGGTGGTGAGTTCAACCTAAAGTAATAGGAATGGAAAATGAAGATTTAACCTCATTCAGGAAATGTCCATGTTCTGACTGAAGGATTGGGAATGGTATTTCATACTTGCTTGTGGCTTATTGTAAGCTGGTCTTACTTCCTCCCTGTGACCCAAATCTTGCTCTAAATTGAATGCCAGCATTTCAAAACATGGAAAAAAGTCTAACCAAATGGTCACTCAGAGTCCACCCTGACTTTCTCTGGCTTGTTTCATTTCAACCGGAATGTACCTGCTGCTTCTTTTAAGGAAGCACTGGGGAAATTTCACTCCACCTCCATCCCAGTGAACCTGATTGCCAGCTTACATCTCAAGACATTGTGGCTGTAGTGCTGTGGGAGTAAATATCTCTGGGTACTTTGCGTATAGCATGGATGTGAATGTCTTATAATTTATGGTGGATTTTGGTGTGGAGAAGGAGGGACTTTTCACATGCTTCTTGGATAGGACTAGCCCATTTGATGAATGCCCAGAAGGTTGATGATGAAGAGGACAGACATAAATGTTGATAGGGTTGCATGCTTAACGGGGAGGAGAAAGATTGAGGCAATCCTAGGCAGTAGCATGCATTTGACTGTCTTCTTGCCACATCATGCTTGGGGACCAGGATCCAGCTCCTTTATCAAAATGATGAGTTGGGGAGATTCAATCTGAGAAGTCTAAAAGAGAAAGGCAAAGCCCTCCAAAATTAGGAAAAGGAAACAAATTGCAAGCAAAACCAAATGAAGAACAAAACTCCCAACCTAAAGCAATTTGGAAGCATGCAGAAATGTGGGGTCAGATTCCCAAAGGCAATTTATAAGATAAATAATGGAGCAGAAGGAGCATGATGTTGGAAAGTTCCTTAATTATCTTTTCTAATCTTGGAGAGAAATATGTGTTTGAGAGAGAGGGATGCGGAGGGAGGGAGAGAGAGGGGAAGGGAGAGATGAGAGAAGACAAGAGAATAAATAAAGCGTTTAATTCTAAAAGTATTCATTTGGTTGGCATGTCTTTATGTATGTATGTGCGCAGGAAGGGGCTATTGCAGAGAGGGAGGGAGGCAGATTGTTGTGCAATCCTGTAAACTGGAGAGACATTACCTTCAAGCCGGAATTCAACAAAATCTTTGGATCTCAAAGCTAAAATTCCCTCAGCTCTAGCAAAGGATCTGAGGAAATGGAAAGATATTCAGTTTACTTTGTACCATATCTGGAACAATTATTTGGGCCTTTAGAGCCAGTTTAGGGTAGTGGTTAAGGCACCAGGCTAGAAACCAAGAGATGTCGAGTTCTAATCCTGATTAGGTATGTAGTCCAGCAGAGTGATCTTGGGCCAGTTGTGTTGAGATGAAAGTGGCAGCGTTGCAAGAATTCCAGCAACTCAATTCTTAACCAAGATACAACCTATGCCTCTCTTAATAGATATTATGAGGGAGCCAGTTTGATGCAGTAGTTAATGCATCAGGCTAGGAACTGGATGACTGTGGTGTTAGTCCTGACTTAGACCAAAAATGGCTGGGTGACCTTGGGCCGGCCACATATGCTCATCCTAGGAAGAATGAAATCTTTCTACGAAATCTTGCCAGGAAAATTGCAGGGATGTATCCAGGCAGTCAAAAAGAGTCAACTGTGACTCATTGGCACAAATAAATAAATGACTGATTTTTAGTCCAAGCCTTAAATTAATCACAGAAAATTATTTTGACACCAAAATCATGTCAGGATTGAATTCTAAGTGTCTTGCTAACTTCATAATTTCTTAATAGAAATCGTTTCCTCTGACAATATCTGGGAAATCCTATTTGCTTTAATTCAGTTCAGTGCCTTGACCAGGTAGACTTTATGTTCCATATTGTGAAGTTGGGAATAATCAGTTCTGTAATCTAATCCCAGTTTCTGTACAGATACCTTCAAAGGAAATTAGGCCATTGATTATTAACTTGTTCATTTCAAGAGGATTAGTATGAAGCATCCACTGTTAACTTCTGGAAGGGGAGACATTTTGATTTTCTGCTTAAACTCAAAATGGTTTCTGTCAGTTTTATTTAATTTGAATATTCTTGTTTTGTTTCCTTAATATTTCCTGTTTTCAGAACTGCTGACAGTTCCTTGGATCACACAACCACTCTGAGGGTGGTGGAGAACATTTTAGGAAGGGGATAATTTTAAGTACAAAAGGAGAAAAATAGCTGCATGTGATTTGACATCAAGTGTATTTGGCTCTACAACTCAGAGGGCAGAAGGAGAGAGAAGCATCTGTCAGTTATTAATGATATGCTTCAGTTCTTCATTTGCAAAATAGGAAGGAGAAGTGCACCCTATTTATTGTGCAGAAGTATCTTGATTTGTCAGCCTGCATATATGTAATCTCAGCTAGGTCATTTGGTGTGGCTTTGGTATGTTCTTATTATATATGCCTCACCAAACCCAACAGATGGTTGATAGGCTACCTACCCATTTGGGCTAAACATTTCAGCGGATAGGCTGGACGTTAAGCTGAACTGAAGGAAAAATGAAAGAATGCCTTTTTTCCATCCTTAAAATGACTGGAAACATGAAATAATTGTTATTTGGGGGGGTGGGGGGTGGAGAGAAACCAACCAAAACCAGTATTCCCCAAGTATCTGTTCATTTTTTATTGTTAACACCATCAGGCTTGATCCCTAAATCAAGCAATGGACCCCGTGGGCAAGCTGAACTCTTGGAAAGAAGCACACAGTGCTGTGCAAATGGAAGTGCATGATGCTCGGCAGCTGCTGATACACACAGCAAAAAGCCCTGTGGGAAACTTCAAGGTGCATGTGGCAAAAGCAGAGATGGGGCGGGGTGTGGGGGAAGAGGTGGCTTTCATGCTGCAAGAACGTCAGGACAGGAAGTCCCAGAGAGGCTTCAGAAAAGCGGAACGGCACAGACACACAGTGAAAATGCCTCCAGTTACAGCCGCAGGAGAGGAAGAGAACAGAAAGACCCATGCATTGTTGCAACAGTACAGTAAACGTTCGAGTATTGAGGCCCATCCTTGCTGTTTGGGGAAGGAGACGAGGGAAGAGGGGGTAATGAGTTCATGCTCGGCCATCGGGCCCTCTGTCCATGCCTCACAGGCTTCCCTCCTGCCCCTGCAGTGGCCAGAAGCGAGTGATAAGGACACAAGAGAAAAGATGAGCCAGCAAGTTGAGGTAAAAAAGCACAAGGTGGTGATGGGGAGCTCTTCCAGGACATCTAGTCTTCAGGCACTCTCTGCAATTGGCATTTGGTTCTTTAGTATTACCCTGCACCTATGCTTTGGGAAAAACCAAGTTTTTCCAAAAGCACTCCTCCTCGTGCTTATGTCTCCACTACAGAGGCAAACTGGTTTAATAAGCATTCCTTCCCAGGAAGACTTTAGTTCAGAGCCACCAGCTTTGCTTAATATTTCCGAAGGGAAAGGCACGTGTGCCAAAAAGGTCTATCTGTGTCTGTGTTGTTAACTAGCTGAAATTATAGATCTGGGTTTAAACAATAATCCAACTTTTGCATGAAGTTATGGCCCTTTTCTTAACCAGGGAAAACAGCTTGTTCCCACCTCTCATTAAAAGCCAAGGGTCAATCCATCTGCCACATTTTAGCTGCTAGGATCTAACATGATCCAGAAGTAGAATTGTGGGCAGATTAAAGAGCAGGACTATTGCAAACAGAGGTTGGTGAATTCTGAATTCCTGAACCCAAAGTGCAGGAGCTCATATGTAAAAGAACAATGTTTGCAAGCAATTTTTGCCTTACTCCAATGGCATGAGTTCATATTTCTCTTTTAGCTCCGATTCGAAAATAGCTGCCATTCCTCAGGAGTAAAGCAAAACCTGCCTGTGTCCAGCTCTTCCTTAAAATCCCTAAGTTATAGGCAGAGATCCCTAAATGATACAACTTGTTATTATTTTGAAGTGATAACTAGGCTGTAATGACTGGATCTAGCACATTTCTGGAATTGAGATAAGCTGAACAGGCATTTTTAGGAGTTGCTACAAGGTGCT